CTCATCTGTACATGTGGACTCCTGGTGGTGCCTACTGTGTGAGTATCCCGCCGCAACCACAGTTTAGCATAGTTGATCTAAAATGGAATTCAGATGGAAGCTGTCTTCTCCTGAAGGATAAAGAGTTGTTTTGCTGCGCTGCCGTTGCCGTTCTTCCTGAATCGAGCGAATATAGCTCGGATGATTGAGGCAGTAGCAATTTTCCAGAGTTTGTTGTAAAAATTTGTAGAATGTACAATTAAGCAGTTTACCTTGCTCCCTCTGTGTACTGTGTTAATGTAGCATTGGGATGTTCCATTTCTTCCAGTTGGAACATCCAACAGTTCGATTAAATTGGTGCCCTTTCCCTATTATTTGTTTTTCCTTTCAGAGGATTAGTACTAGTACCCATTGGACGTCACAATGACAGTGTGCTAAATCAATTAAACGTTGTTTTGTATTTTAACATTTTCTAACGATGCTCGATAGGCTTGGGATAATGACACAATTGCATCCTAATTATAGTTAGTGCTCATATGAAATTGACTTGCTAAACCCACATGACGGATTTCAAAATATGAACTATGTAGAGTTTAAGTACTGGCAGTGTTATAGTGGCATTGTTCGTAGCCCAACCCAAATTACTCCAATATTGCTACTTGTTTCAACTTTTTACACATGACAACGATCGATTAGTTTAGAATACTGTGACAACAATTTTTGGATTGTAGTTAAACTTATCTGTTTTTATTTTTTAGGTGAGGAGTTTATTTTTGCCTAGCCTAGCTAATAAGAACATTTACTCGTCAGTACGAAAATGGACAGTACTGAAAATTATGTTGGCTTGAGATGAATTCAATCGTCTTGGGTGGTAGGGCATACTACAACGGATCGCATCTACATAAGCCATACACGTGGTGCCAAGGCATTTGGTTGATCATTGATTAATAATTGAGTAAACTTATGACTTTCTCAACTATTATTTCAATTCAAATTTATCTCTGAACTATTTTTTGAGAAAAGTTAAGAAAACTCTCTCAAAAGTGAAACTGTCTGAGTCTTTATGAACTACTATTTGTTTTGAACCAATGACTCTCGTCATATGAAAGAAATGCTCTAACTACTGAGTCAAGTAGGTAAAGGTGTGTCAAGTCAGAGAAAATAGACTCATATAAGAGAAAGTCACGCAACATGAACTCTCCTTACTGTATAGGACTCACTATAGGACTCACTTTATGTTTTTTACACAATATTTTATAAGGTTGGCACGGGAATTAAGGGTCCCAATTTAAGAGTGTTGTTGGCATTTCTCTTATTTTATTGGTAAACAACCTCTCCTTAAACTATTTGAATCAGTTAATTAATCATTCACCGCCATATTCGATGAGCTTCATCCACTTTATCATCACCAGCACGAATTTACCTGTCAAGTGTGAATCACATGCTGATCACTTGGCAGTATTTGACTGCAAAGAATGAAATTTCAACAAATATGACGGTGAAGAGTTAATTGGAAAATTTTGAATAGTTCATCAGGTTAATTTACTACAAAAGTAATTCAACAAGACAGCTTCAACTAATATATAATTCAGAAAATCAAATCGCAATCTAATGATTATGATAATACATTCATACAGATACAGGTCACGATTCTGCACAAATGATAATGGTGAACAACCGATGTTGGATGTCGTTTTCCCGGTTTAGTTGCACGAGGATAAGTGCTGCACCTTGACATGCCACATTTTACATAAAATTTTTGGATATGAAAATCCAATGCTAGTGGACCAAATTGTAGTTTCAAGCAAGGTCAAAACTATTGCCATGTCAGCCTAGCCAACCTAGCTCCCTTCCCTGTCATTTTTTATCCAAAAAAATAATAATTAAGAATGTCCGACCACGTTATTCGTAAAACACATTTATAAAAATATAAATTTTTGGTGTTCTCACATATAATGTAAGAGCTATCATAATCAAAAAGTCTAACTGATATTTCTCCACTATCCACAAAGCAAAACATGTTGAGTTGTATTTGTTTCCGATTTGCACATGCTAGGAGTGGGGGAAGGGAGAGTCAACTTCAACCTGTAGAGAATTGAGATTCAACAAAGAAAATGATTTGCGCACATTCCATTTATTTTTATCTTGTAATTTATTTAATTGTCTAAAAAGTAAATAAAATCATGGACATATGAAGATTGCTCCCTTTAACAATAGTAATAATTCTTCACATTTTTTCTATAAAAGTGGAAAGTGAGAAAACTCCCAACATGAGTTCGAACTCTCACTATGCATTTTTTTGGGTTGCGACTGTACTTTAGCATATCATTTAACATGGAAGATTAATGTACGTTATCGATCATGTAATACCAGGCTGTATAAATAAGATTAACATATTACAATTGTACTGTGATATTGTAGAATTGTAATTGTATTAATTGATTTCACAAAGATACAAAATATATACAAGTCAATTGACCTGGGGTACAAGTAAACCTAAGCCTGTAGGAATTTACAAAACCTAGTCCATAAGAATACTAAGAGGATTATCCTACACTAACAGCCCCTAAAAAACTTGGCGGTCTTGGAGCAACAAGTTTGGAACATAGAAATGCAAAGCGAGGCTTGGAGAGGCCTTTAGTGAGAACATCCATTGGTTGATCAACATAAGGAATAAACTGGACTTTGTGAGTACCCACTTCACCCTTTCACGAACAAAATGATAATCAAGCTCCATATGTTTTGTCCGAGCATAAAAAACAAGATTGGCAGCCATGTAAGTAGTACTGAGATTGTCACAAAATAAGAAAGTGGGTGAAGATATTGAAAAACATAGCTCACAAAGAATATATGAAAGCCAAATGAATTCGGCACAAGCATGAGCCAAAGTGCGATATTCAGATTCCACACTAGATAGAGAGACTATGGGTTGTTTGGTTGAACTCTAAGAGATCAAGTTTGGGCCATGAAAATGAGAAAACTGGAAGTGGATTTACGAGTGTTCGGACACCCAGCCCAATCAACATCAGAATAACTGCGTAGTAAAGGAGGACCCAAAGAGCGGCGGAAGGAGATCCCCTGGTCCAAGGAACTCTTAACATAATGAAGGATGTGTTTAGCAGCAATGAGATGTGTTTGAGTCGAACGAGACATGAACTAAGAGATATGATTAACCGCATATTTAATGTCTGGGCGAGTCAGAGTAAGATATTGGAGAGAACCCAATAGATGAGGAAATTTGGTAGGATCCGAAGGTGGTGTACCATCTTGATTAGACAACTGAGCACGGGAAGCAATCAGAGTGCTGCATGGATTACCGTCAGTCATATATATATATATATATATATATATATTCTCATTATCCTTTTTTTTAATTAACATATTATAATTGTACCGTGATACCCGCCTATATTCTCATTATCCTTTTGTTTTTTTTTAATGATCAGTTGGCTTCACCGCAACAGTTCACACTTTTGAGGACTGAAAAGATTTACAAAGACATTTTAGTCTCATAATGACCGATTCCCAACACAGAATGTGAAGTATAAAATACAGATCTAAAACTTGTTCCTAACCATTGAGACACCCCATGTTGTTCTCATTATTCACTTCCTAAGCAGTCATGGCTATATTTGAATGTGGGTCTTATAAAAAAAATTCCAAGGAACAAGAAGGTCGTATATTATTGTAAGCAAATTATAACCGACTCTTTACACTTTCCCAAAGCGCCCCCAACTTCCAAATCGCCAAATCTTGCCTCGCCCGCGTGCCTGTCGACCTTTAATTCTCCCGCAACAACGCGTTCCCGAATCTTAAGTTAAGATTCTTAACGAAACCGTCTACTATTTTATAATAATAAAATTACTAAACAAATGGTTAGTTTAGAGCTTCGCGTAATCATACAACGTGTAAAAAACACATAAATGGAATTTTCATGCATTTTAATTGATGTTGGTAAATGACTAATTTACAAAGAGATATCAAACTCGAACGCAATATGGAGAGAATACAAATTGCATAAACCCACATCTTAATTTTTCATGCATGCGACGTCCGTAGATGACTTTTAAAATGTCGATTAAGATTAAAACGATTATTTTTCAAGGTAAATAAAAATTACTCACTTTTTGAAATCCAATCAAACATACTCATTTTGGAATGTGGTGTTATGAATTTGCTTTTCTTTTAGCTAGGTTTTATTCACTCCTCTTTATCCCTCAAAATTTGATCCGATGAAAATTTGAAACCCAAAATTGACGCTCGTGCATCAGCAACCCCTCTTCCTACCTCTATTGCCCACCCATCTCAATTTAATAACGGCATACGACATTTTAACAATAACAATCTACATACTATAACGACACAATAATAATACTCCAAACAATTCAACAACATTGTATGACGCCGCTATGGTTTTGTACATGACCTGATTTTATTGTTGTTATTACAGTGTTATTATGGTGTCATATTGTTATTGTTGCAGACTTGCAGTATCATTTTTATGATGTCACTAAATTGATTCGAGTCATGTGCAACCCATGTGCACACAATCTGTACGCATAAGAGAATTTCTATATTTTTTATTAGTATTATTAGCCTAAGATCACACACTGTGTGTGAAGCAGGTTTTATGTTTTTATTTGTTTTTTTTTAATATATGGGAGAGAGAAGTTAGAGAGGCATGTGAAACATTGAAAGAGAATGGATTTAAACCCCGTCAACGGTTAATGTAATATCTAATCTAACAAAATATATCGTTTGACAAAAGAAACACTGCAAGAGAGAGTGAGAGGTAGAAAGAGAAAAAAATGGAGTGGAGAGAATTTTACATTTTTATTTTTTAAAATTAGAGTAGGTGAGCAATTATATCACTCGTCATTATTTTATTTTGTGATATAAAATTAATTATTTTATTATAATTTTTTCAAACGAGAAGAAAATTTTGTTAATACGTAGTTTAGATAATTATAATAATTATTAGTTTCTGGTTCAAAATTTTAAAATATTGAGTGAAAAGTCAGTTTCCTTCAGTCTCAGGATTCTTACAATTTTCCATGTCATTTCTCACTGTCGCAACCACCGACCGACGTCCCTCAACATAAAAACTCTCCTCCTTTCTTTTTCATCAGCCTCTCTCCGACTTCCCCAATCGCGTCCGATTCTCTCTGTCCCGCCACCAATTTTCTCAGTCAATGCCCGTGGCCGAACGGCGGTCAGCTGCAGCCATGGAAAACGGCGTCGTAGAGAACGGTGTCTGCTCGTCGGAGTCGGCTACCGGGAGTCGCTACGTTTGGAGCTCCAAGGAGTCCGAATATTCCTCCGCTGATCATCTCGTTGTCATGGTCCATGGAATCATGGGAACGTACGACTTTTCAATTTCAATTTTTCAATTTTTTGGGGTGAAAATCATTGATCACGATTTGATTAGCTGTACTTTGAAATTTTCTTGATTTATCGAGAGATTGAGATGGGTTTTGGGTGATTATGCTTACTGTGATAGGGAATTTTGATTTTTTTAGCGATTTATGATAAATTTGATTTCTTTAGTTAAATTGGTAGTTCTAAATCTGTGTTAGTTGTACCAAGACTTTGTTTTTGGTTTGTAGTTACGATGTTTGTATTTAAGTAACAAATGTATGCTTTCTGATTGGGCAAAGATTGCAGTTTGTTGTTTGATTTGGCGAAATCAGAAAGTATCTCCTATGGTTGTGTGTACGTTAAAGTAGATTTTGAGCATGACCTCCTCCAATTTGTATTTTTGAGTATTTGAACAGGTCCGTTTCTTGTACGGTAGTTTCTCATTTCTGTACAATGTTGTTTTTGCATTTGCTGGTGCAGTGCCGCGGATTGGAAGTTTGGGGCGGAGCAATTTGTTAAAACACTTCCAGACAAAGTTATTGTTCATTGTAAGGAACGTTCTTTTGTGTTGTGCATCCAATTTGTTTTTATATGTCCAAAGCTGGAGCTTTTTGGATTCTGATCCCCTCGATTGTTTGTTATATTTTTGGTTCTTTTATATGTCCAATTTGTGCAATGTTCTAAGTGATCTATTGCAGTCGGTATTTTTTGTAAAAAAAAATATAATGATTGTCCAATCTACTTAATTTTGGTTGAAATTCGGCTGCAGGTAGTGAACGGAATGGCTCTAGGCTGACTCTAGATGGTGTGGATGTAATGGGGGAGCGATTGGCAGAGGAGGTTTTTTTTGCCTGGTGTTTTTTTATATATTGGATCTATTTTCATTCCCGAAAAGATGTATCCACTTCCTGTTCTGTGCTGTTTCTAACCAAGTTTATCAATTTTAGGTTATCGAACTGACTCGAAAAAAACCTAATCTACGAAAGATCTCATTTATTGGACATTCTGTTGGAGGATTAGTGGCAAGATATGCAATTGGGAGGCTATATAGACCCGGTCCCCCTAAAAGTGACAATACGGAACCTAAAAGTGAGAATACGGAACATTCATCTCCTGATGGATGTGAAGAGGATGCAAGGAGTACATTAGCTGGCTTGGAGCCTTTGAACTTTATTACTGTTGCCACGCCTCATCTTGGATCAAGGGGTAACAAGCAGGTAACACAATTTCCTTTAACACTTGATCGTTCACAATGTACTTGAATTCCTAGAGTTTTGTAACGTCTCAAGTTTAAGTAAGTTCTTGGCTTGTATTGGTTTGTCAAATTCTGTGGATTTATATACTGAAAAGCTTAATTAAGCAGGAGTGAAAGATGCTAGGGTGATCTTATGTTATGTCCTTAGGTGGTATATGCACTTGCCACTTTTTACTTATGAATTAATCCACCTTCTGTAGGTGCCATTTCTCTTTGGTGTACCTGCCTTTGAAAGACTTGCTAGTGCGGTTATTCATTTGATATTTAGGAGAACAGGTCGGCATCTTTTTCTTAATGATGACGATGATGGGAAGCCTCCACTGCTTAAACGAATGATAGAAGATTGTGATGGTTGTTATTTCATGTATGTTACTTGCATCCATATTCCAAACGTAAATATGAGATTCAAAGTTTCTTGAGATTTCATGCATATAGATTATAGAATGACATTTGATTTTTGTTTGACAGGTCTGCATTGCGTAGTTTTAAGCGGAGGGTGGTGTATTCAAACGTGGGCTATGACCGTATCCTATTTTCTATGATCATATTTATACCCTTTCCAATTTTTTATGTCTTATTCACATTTTGTTTTCGATAATTAATGCTATAAAGATATTGTCGGCTGGAAAACATCATGTATTAGACGTAATAGCGAACTTCCAAAGGTATTGCCATCTGCATGGTTTTATAATTGTAATCTTAAGGTCAGGTTTTCTGATTTTCATTTAAAGTTTTCGATTTTTTTGCTTATCAGTGGGAAAATACTGTTGACGAAAAATATCCGCATATTGTTTATGAAGAACACTGCAAGGCCTATGATGCTGAGCAGTGTGAGCCTGCTTCAGCAGAAGATGGTGGCTCTGGCGAGCTTGAAGGTTAACAACTCATTTCTCTTTTGCTACCAACTTTCAATAGTATTGTTGAATTCTGTGTAAACAGAAGTTGTTGTCTATGCTTGTTGCTGTTCTGCTTGTGTTACATCGCTAATTTTCTTACATTTTATTATTACATTTCATTGCTCTTGTATCTGTCTGCGTCTGTGTGTTGCTTGCTTATTATTGGTTGTCCCTAAATAATTTATTTCTTAACACCTTTGTTTGGTGCAGAGGAACTTTTGAAAGGCCTATCTCGCCTGTCTTGGGAAAAAGTAGATGTTAGTTTCCACAGCAGCAGACGGAGATTTTCTGCTCATAGTGTCATTCAGGTTTCTCTCTCTCTCCCTCCCTCTCCCACACGCACACACTTTCTGCTCATAGTGTCATTCAGGTTTCTCTCTCTCTCCCTCCCTCTCCCACACGCACACACCCGCATGCTCACACCATACGCTAAAGAAACAAATATGCACTCTGAACATTTTACAGGTCAAAGATCAAAGTGTACATATAGAAGGTGAAGATGTCATACGCCATATAATGGATCATTTCCTTAAGTAAAACCTAATGATCGCTAGAAGAATTGACATTGCGACGTGGGCCTACTGTGTGGTTCTTTCAGTAACGCTACGCTGAGTGCAGAGAAATCCGTGATATCTGCACCGTTGAATGGTGTCTCAATAACTGGCCGAAAGAAGAATGTATCTGTATTTTATTGGTGCATTGCAGCTTGCAGCCGAAGGCATTCGGTTACTAGACCGAAAAGCTGTGCACCAAATGTGTTCAATTCAAGCAAGCTACGAGATAGAAATTCGTATATTCGTTGTGATATGCGATGTATATGTATATGAACCAAGACCTTTATTATAAAAGGCAAAATTTCCATTTCTTATTGCTACTATCTCCTCTTTACTTTTTGCACTTCTTTCCGTTTACAGAAAGACAATGCAAACTCTGGTTGCATGGATTTGTATCTGCAAAGCGTTATCTATAACAGAATTATAAATAGAAGAATTCATTTTCAGTGTGTCGAGAATACGGTTTGGTATACAAACTGTAATAACACAATTGGTTGGAAACTTGAAAGTGAGTGGTTTTTGCAAAATCCAACTGCCAAAATTTCAATTTTGATGTTTGTCTCCTTTTTTATTCCAGCGGCGTTTTTAAGATTCATACATTCGATCCCACTTAGTGAGATAAAGCTTGATTGTTGTTGTCGTCTCCTTTTTTTTGTTTCGTTGCTTTTGAATAACTGCATTATGCAATGGCTCTAGGTTGTTGTTCAAAAGGAGGGCCCTAGAGGGGTGCATTTTCGGCGTTCAGGACCCCGGGAAAAGGTGCGTTTTTTTCATCTTCATAACCGTTCGCTTAGGGGAAATGGAACTAACATGACTTTGCTAACTCTGAAACACTTCTAGTTAAAGGCTGCTAAAAGTTCTGTCAATGATTTTGGAACTTTTAAGAATACTACCAATTGAAGAATTGTAAACTTGCTGATGATGAAAACTTTCAGGGAGGATCTAGGGGATTTTATTCTAAAAATACATGGCGGTTGACCGTTGACACCAAAAGTTGTCGACGATATTCATAAGCGTGGTGGAACCTTACTTCAAACTTCACGAGGAGGTCATGATACGAACAAGATAGTTGATAACATACAAGACCGAGGAATAAATCCGGTTGATATATTATATATGCTTTCATTTCCTGCATATTTGTGTTGGGTTGGGTTAACCCCTGTAGAACAACTGAAGTTGATGAGAAGAAGTTGCTAATGTGACTTCCAGGTATACATAATCGGAGGCGATGGCACCCAAAAAGGAGCAGATCTGATAAACAAGGTGAACATATTCTGTCTGAGATGAATCCATTTCCTTGTCGCAGCATGTTCTGACATTAGCATGTTTTGTCAAGGAAGTTGAGAAACGTGGTCTTCAAGTCGCAGTTGCTGGGATCCCTAAGACAATTGATAATGATATCGCTGTAAGTTCTATCGTTCACGAATGATTTGCATTTCGTAGTATCATTATCCTGCTAACTTCTGCAAGCTGCAATAAAATTTTGATGCCACTTATGAATGTGGAAAGTTCACAAACTCAATATGAGTACTCTAAATCCTCATGAGCAACATATTACTGGTGTTGAAGAAGCACAGAGAGCGATTAACGCTGCACATGTCGAGGTTGAAGGCGTGGAAAATGGAGTTGGAATTGTCAAACTCATGGGCAGACACAGTGGTATGTGTCTTTTAATGATATAACGAAAGACATACTTTCATTTTTCACCTTTCTTTATCATCTTATTCTCATGTCAGATGAAGAATGGTGTGCATGTATTTGGTTTCACAACTTTGTGCCTGTACTTAATAAACTTCTCTTCTGTAGGTTTAATTTCTTTATATGCAACTTTGGCAAGTCGAGATGTGGTAATTCAGTAATTCAAACATATGAAACTAATTGTATGTGCATTCCAGTGTAATTCAGTAATTCAAAATATTGAATCTGAGGGAGTGTTCATTTAGCCCGTGTTCCAGAATCTCCTTTCTATTTGGAAGGCCGCGGTGGGCTTTTTGAATTTGTTGAAGAGCGGCTTAAAAAAATGGACATGTGGTTATTGTGTTAGCAGAAGGAGCAGGGCAGGAGTATGTTGGTCTATGGCTAACCCAAAAGATTAAGGTGTAATACAAACTGTCAATAATATTTTGAGTAGTTTTTAGACACTTTTTTTCCTTGATGTACATTGTAAGCAGTTTTTTCTGCTATAGTTTCTTCTTGTTATCATCAAATAGTTGTGATTCAGTTACTGTTTATATATTCCATGTCACAGGATCATTTTACAAAAGTTCCGAAGATGGCGATAAATATGAAATATATAGGTAAAATTTTGAGCTGTTGTAGAGGCTAGAAATTTTTATCCCACATATATGATTCGAGCTATCCCAAGTAATGCATCGGACAATATACACTGCACTCTTCTTGCTCATAGTGCTGTTCATGGGGCCATGGCAGGATTCAGTGGTTTCACAGTCGGGCCTGTAAGCAGTAAACATGCTTATATTCCAATTGCTGTAAGTACTTCCCCTGCTCCATTTGTTCCAATTGGGTAGTTTTGGCTCGAGTTGGTTTTTTAACTGCATTTCTTGTCTTCATTTGATTTCTGAGTTGACATTTTAGGAGCGGTAGAAGCTTTTGACAACTAGATGCAAGCCTGATTTTGCAGTAGCATGCACGAAAGTAACTATAAAAGCTTGAATTTAACGTCTGTCGAAACAACAAAATGAATCCGAGGCTAATAATTCTTAATCTGTATGCTAGTGTATTGTTGTGGGTCGAATATGTTGATCAATTTGGAGGTGTGTGGTTATGATTCACCAAAAGATGGGAAGTGTATAGTTATGAACGGAATATGTGGTATTGCAGCGTGTGACAGAGAATCAAAACAAAGTAAGCTTGACAGATCGGATGTGGGCTAGACTTCTTGCAATCGACGAACCAGCCTAGTTTCTTGGATGATAGTGAGGTGCAAGAAAACGTTGATGAGGAGGATGTTGATTTGATAAAAAACAAAATGATAGCTACTTCTTCTTAAATTTATGGAGTGGGGCTCTCAGTTCGTTCAAGTGGACAGCACAACGTAACATTGGAATTATGCCAACAGGTACGGTATTCAGACAGTTCGTGATATTTTCACTGCCCAAATTTCCTTGCAGCATGAAACTTGCTAAGTTTTTTGGCTTTGTGCGAGAACACGATATAGAATAATGGCACCTAGAAGTGTTAGCTTCTTGTAGCAGGGATTTTAGAGAAGACAACAACCATACTAAATTTTGCTCTGGTCTTTGGAAGTTTCTCTATGGAAGAGAGGCTTCTGCTGTAAATTTGTTCTACTTCCCTTACCTCTAAGTAGTAAAAATGCTCAGAACAAAGAAAGGAACTTAGCCTCCTTTTGGGTTATTCTAAGAACGTTTCTTTCCTTTTGCAGGTCCAGACGTATCTAAGTTGGCTAGAGCTGGCCATTCTCATCCAAGTTCCCTTCGAATCTTTCTTCCTGTATTTTAAATTAGATTATAATATCGCTTGAATAGAAAGAAAAAAAAAATCTTTCTATTTGTGGTGTTGGGTTATTGTTTAGCATCATTTTTGGACACCAATCCGTTTCAAACGTTTGGGATAAGGTGACGGCAACAACAACAAAGTCGATAAATAAAATATCTCTTGTCTTGCTTATCTTGAAGTTTCAACTTGCGAGGTTCCATCATGGACCCCAAATTAAACTTTAAGTTCCACCCAAGTTGCATAAATTGGTTGTCGTTTATTTCCGAGTTGTGTGCCAGTGCAAATTAGGAATCTTGTACGGAACATGGAGACAATTCCAAGGTCGAAGAAGTCGGATCACGTGTCATTGCAGCCAAACTCTGAACTCGAACTCCGTTGTGTTTTGCATCATTCAGGTCCACACACGATCCCATCCGTTGTGAGGTGTGCCGTGTGGGTTGTTCACGGCGAGTCCACCCCTAACTGCACCTGCACCGGGTCTCAAGTTGTCCATAGAAATAAGTTATGAAAAGTCAACAATCCCAAAAGAAATGTCAAAAGCGATATTATGGAGGATGGAGTCATTCACAGGACTTCGAGTGATTTGAGTGGGCTCTTAATCAACTGAATTACGACTTTTTGAACCATGTTAAATATGTGTAGACATCGAGCAAAGAGTTCAGTGCTCGTGTTAGGAGCTACATGGATGTCGTAGTCCTAGAAGCTAGATCAACATCATGACACCGGCATTTAGGAAACTGTTAGGGTTTCTACTAATGACCTCACACCTTGAAAAGGCAGACTGCAAATGTAACAACTAAAGATTGTACAATAAGGAAGAGGATCCGGTTCGGATCTCTCCCATCAAAGGCACAGGATCAAGTGCAGACCGTTAAAATTTGATCCAATGACAACAAACAGAAATCATTCTAAAAGTTATAATAATTGTAGTCGTTGGATCAAATTTCAACGGCCTGAATCCCTTAATCATGAGCCTTTGATGGGAGAGATCTGGACCGGATCCTCTTCCGTGTAGTAAGTTCACATTGCATTAATTCTAATTATTCTCTGTTTTCACTCTCATTTTCCATCTTACAAACAACCTAGTATTATTATTAATAAATTTGTACATACAAATTTGATACGGTAGAATATTACAGACCATGCATATAGTAAATCAGTAAATCCGTCCTCCAATCATATTCTAACATATCGGCAGAGGAGGATCCTGAGATTAACACAGCTCCTTCAAGTGCCTTCTCCTTCCCAAAGCACCCAACTTTGAAGCTCCAGTTCTTCAGTCTCAGCTACCTCCTCCTGCTTTACCGATCTCCTCCTCTTCCGCGCCGTGTTCACCGGCGGTTCCGACACTCCGGCCTCCAACGGAAAATTCAGTATTGCTTTCCTACCCCTCAGCTTAAATGCAGCACAATCATAGGCCTTGGCAGCATCAACATCAGTGTCAAATGTCCCTAGCCAAACCCGAGTACCTTTCCGGGCCGGATCACGTATCTCCGCCGCGTATTTTCCCCACGGCCTCCGCCGGACTCCCCTGTAATGCCTTAACGCATCACCAGGGCCTGAAACCTGTTGTAATTCATCTTTTGGACCGGGATTTTGAGAAGTACTATTTTTTCTCTTTGGTGAGCTCAAATTCAGGGGCTCTACTTCCATGGATGGTAAGTTAACGATTTTGGGTTTCGTTTCGGAATTTGAGAATTGGGGGCTATGGTGATTAGGGTTTGAAATGGGGGAGCTGGGCCCTGATTCAGAGAGGGACGAGTACTCCGGCTTGACTGGTTGAAATTGGAAATTGAGATGAGAAATGAAGGAATCTGTGAAGGTGAAGTCTCCTAAGAGGTGTTGGCGGATGAGCTCAAGCGTTGAATCATCTTGTTCTTCATGTGCTGACATGTCGAAGTGAGAGCAGAAGGGGAAGCTAATTGCCATGCATGGAAAGGATATGGGTGATATTTTTCTAATTTAAGAAATAATATTTGATGACTTTGGGGGTGAGAAGGTGCGGAAATTTATATAGGAAATATCAGTTGTTTTTTGGTAGGAATCACCATCCACATTTCAACATAATAGGGGCACCCCTATTAAATCCAATGGTCTTATCCTTTCTTCTCAATAATCAATGATTACGGTAACGATAAACGCAATCTATTTTTAGTTACAACCAAATATGGTAAGTTAGTTAAAGTAGTGTGCTCGTCCTTATACTTCAGTTCGAATTCCATTTTTGTAAGTGTTATGGTAGTTTAAAATATCAGATAAATAAAACGTGACAGTTGGAAATTATCCTTTTGCACTTTAGTTCTACATTGCACTAGAGTTTGAATCTATTTCTTTAAAATATAAGAGCAACTTCAAGTTAACAATACTCCTCGCTTTGTTAGAGTCGGAGGAGTCAACAATACTCCTCGCTTTGTTAGAGTCGGAGGAGGGGGAACATGGCATAGTAAAAAATATATTAAATTTTTTAGAGCAGCCCACGGTTTGGTTATAACTTCCAGCTGCGTGTTATCCAACTTGCTACTTGGTTGCAACTAGGCATGAAGAAGTTGTTGTATTAGGGCTCGTCAGCAGCCAGCAAAGACATGGACAAGTTTTGCAACTAGTGATAACTGCAGGGGTCCCTCCCATGCAACTAACGCATGATGTCGATATTTCACTGTCGCTTCCACCACAGCAGGCATCTCAGCAACTTGTGAGCATATCCTGGTTTGATATTGTTATGCTTTGAAAAAATTACTGCTTCACATTTTTAGTTTTTATTTTTTTTCACCTAAAACTGTAAAAATAAGTTGTTTTTAAGTGTTTACCAAACACCTTTTTGAGCTCAATTTTTTTTGATACACACTTTTTATAAAAACATATTAGTACCAAACCAGTACTAAGTCTCCTCTACCAAATTGAAAGACAAAGAAGAGATGACCTACCTCTCTCTCTCTCTCTCTCTCTCAACATACATCTCATTAATTGAATGAGTGAACCAAATATTAATCCACAGCTTAACAGCGTTATAAGATATTTCAGTGCTCGCATGAGCTGGTTTTGATCTTGACAAATTGAAGGATTATAGAACTTTACTGTATGTTTTCTTTCACTTTGGTAAGATGTGACGCTTATATTTCAGTGCTCGCATGAGCTGGTTTTGATCTTGACAAATTGAAGGATTATATAACTATACTGTATTTTTTTCTTTCACTTTGATAAGATGTGACTAACGTAACGCAGAGAGCTTGTCCTTTAAGTAGTTGAAAACATTTAGTACTGCATTTGAGGTTTTTGTTCGAATTTTCCTTTTCCCGCTATTACTTGCATTGAATAACAAAAATATTGTTTTTCTAGTCAAAATGGTGTTTAAAATTGGCATAACTTCTCACTTTGGTTCTTGAGTTTGTCCATTATAAAATATTTTGGTCATTCCACGGAAATTTCTATTAAATAAGAAAGACAATGACAAAAATACCCTTAATTTTTGTCAAATCATTTTGGTCCATTATTTATTAAATTGAAGGTATTTTTGTCATTTTGGTCATTATTTAACAGATATTTTTCACATGATAACCAAAATGATTTGGCAGTGTACAAAACTCAGGGACCACTTCTATTGATTTCAAATCTCATGAACCAAAATGAGGAGTTATGTCAATCTCAGAGACCATTTTGACTAAAATACCAAAAATATTGTTGAATTTGAACCTCTATTGTATAACATTAATGACATGTTGCATCCATTTGTATTTAGAATAAATTACACTAGTTGTTTGAACTAGATATTTTATTTTGGGTCAGAAGTTTGAACTAAGATATGAACCCTTATGTGATTCAGCATAATACACATTTCACTTGTGTACATGAACCCTAGAGAAAAGTAAACACTAGAGCTTAACTGTATGCCGTTCAATATATATAATGGTCCACATTTGCACGTCAAGCTTGCCATCTCTTTCTACACTTGTTAAATTTTTGTCAATTCAATTAAATATGTATTTTACTTAAGTCGACTAAGCCATACGAAAAAGACTCTGCGTGTCACCGAGTATATACTCTTTCTCTCCAAACGCACAACAACTTCGTCACATTCTCACAGTAATGAATACATAACCGACTTATGTGAAAGTATTTGTCATGTTGCCCCGAATAAAGACAAAAATGGCTTGGACATACACAATAAGGTTAGCAATTGGAATCAATGAGTCTTGAACAAAGTTAACATGGACATCTAAGTTTATATAATAATCAGTGTCGGTAAAACGTTTTCGATTGTTTAAACACCTTTATAAATCATGTTTTGTGATTAATCCATAGCTGTCATACATATCCATATCGGTTTCTAATTAACAAGTTAATTATTCCTTAAACAACACATAAAACCAATTGGAGATCAACAAGCCATCAGATGTGGAGCCTCCCCTATGGAAATACCATTATCCTTAACAAGAGATAATATTATGAACTTAAAGAACACTAACATTTGCCTACACACTTTGTATGTATGAACACATTTTTTTAGAAAATGAGAAGGAGAGAGGGAGAGAGAAAACGTGGGGGTGAGAGGTTTTTGTTTTTGTTTTTTTTTATTTTTTATTTTATTTTATTTTAATATTAGAGGTATTTTAACATCATCTGTAGGTGAGGATTCAATAAAAAATAGTAAAATTTGGAACTGTAAAATTACATTATTGCCCATCACTTTTTTTGTGTGATAGAAGACTAAGTAGTATTTTCACCATCTTTTGGTTGACAAAAAAAGTTTCATTAATTAATAGAGATTAATAGAGATTAGTGGAGTATGCTGCCGTTTGACTCTCAAAACTATTACCCCAATTAAATATAAGGAAAACTAATGAAAATAGCTTGAAAACTTTAAGTTTTAATGATAAGGACAAAATAAAGGATAAAGTGAATAGTACCATGATTGATTTTTTAGTGTAAAAATGTGGTTTTTCGTTAAAGTGAACAGTACCGGGTGCTTTTCGTTAAAGTTCCCTTAAATTTACCTCTTGATTGATTTTTTTTGGTAAATTAATTTCCTGAACTATTTGAAATTAACCAATTAACTTTTCATCGACAGATTGGATGAAATTTCATCGACATTGTCGGCAAATACTGACACATGATTAGCATTTGATTACTCTTGAGAGTAAAATCATGCTAGTATCCGATGACAAAGTAAATGAAATTTTATTGAATATGTGAGGAGTTAATTGGCTTATTTTAAATTGATTTACAAAAAAAAAATAGTTCATGAAGTCAAAATTCAAAGCGTAATTCTAAGAAAACCAAATTTGCAAATCAAATGATGTGGTTATAAATAATTAAATTATTAATTATTGATTAACATGTTTATTTCTTATTGGTGATACATCATCCGGCTTAGGAATTTAATTTTGATAGCATTATCTAATTTCAAATAGAGTAATACTGCTGAGGTCAAATGTCAGTGTAATGAACAGTGTCCAATGACTTTAAAACCCTAAAGTATGAATATATTATACTTGCAGAGATGCAGGTTGCGCACACGCAAAACTCTAAAAAATCAATAAATTAGATGTAGGATTATCTCCCCTATTCCTATCCGATTTTCTCTTTTATTTCCGTTTTATTTTTTTATTTTTATAAAAAAATTAATATAAAATATTAATGTGGTTTAATTATAAAAGAAAAAAAGAGAGATGAGAGACCTTATCTATGAAATTAATACAGAGAGTTCATACAAAATTTGTTTAAGCAAAGCATTTCATTATATAAAGATTAAAGGAATAAATAAACAAATCAAATTAAAAAATACAATATGAGTTCTTCAATCCATATTGCTCTGAACTATTTACAGTACTCTGTTTTTGCTGCTTTTTTGCAGATGGGACGATACAAATTTAAACTCTGGCAATCAAAGAATGATACCCAAGAAATTAAAAATTCAAATAACCATGAGCGGAGGATATCCCATGAAATTGGGGTGAGGAGATAACGGAGACAGAGGAGGCACACTGAAAATCCCCTGTTCGTTTTCTTTGCTCATATCCCAAACCGCCGCCCAACTTGACGGTGTTAATGGGCAAACGGCGGTTGAAACTCTCTCTTGGGCGGAGCTTTTCATCTCCTGAACATCCTCCTCTTTCTTTATCTCTTTGTTTCTGATCATCTCACCAGAATTCTCATGAATTTCAGTGCTATGTTCTCTCCTCCTTTTCCTGCTGGCCAGCAGAGGATGATCGGCTGGGAGTTCTGCTGATTTTCCAGCTTCAAGTGGAAAGTTGAGAATTGCTTTGCTTCCACGCAGATTGAAAGCAGCAAGGTCATAAGCTTTGGCGGCTTCAACGGCGGTGTCGAAGGTTCCGAGCCAAACCCGGGAACCCCTTCTGTTTGGGTCACGAATCTCCGCCGCGTACTTTCCCCACGGCCTTCTCCTCACACCCCTGTAGTGCCTTGCAGCAGCTTCAACCATGGTGGAAGTGTTCGATGTGTTTTGATCTTCATCAGTACAAGAAGAAGACAGAGGTGGTGGGGATGGAATTGCCACGTTTATGGTGGGCTTGCGGTGGCTGAGAGTCGAGTGTTTTGGTGGTTTTGGGTGCGAGATTTGGGGTTTGGTTTCGAATTGGGTGTCTCGATCAATTTCTGGGACTAAGTAATCAGAGATTTTGAAATATTGGTCAGTGGACTCACTACCACTGTTGGTGGTGCTGGTGGTGGCGGTGGTGGTGGAGGAGGAGGAAGTTGTGTTAAAGGGTGATTGGGCAATTTCATCTTGTTGGGGGACAGAGGTGCAAAGGTCGAGACTAGTGATGAAGCTATCCATTGTGGTAAATTCATTCAAAAGGTGTCGCCTAATCAGCTCCAGAGCTGAAGCTTCTGATGCCATATTTAGAAACTCGAAACAGAAGCAGTTTCAAACGAGCTCTTAGAAACTTCGAAAACGTCAAAAAAAGTGAAGAGTAGAAGTGTTGAGAGTGGAATGGAGGAGTGTGTAGATTTGAATGAATATATATAAGGGGATGGGAAGATTGGGAAGATTGCGAAGATTGTGAGGCCTTTCACACTGCCTTCCAAGACAGAGCCAGGAAGCATCGTCTGGCGGCCGCTTTGGCGGCATAAACAACAAAAATTAGTGGACTTTGGACTGATAATATTTTCAAAAGGGTCCACGTTTTCAATTACTTTGCTTCCAGGCTACTTCCGGAGCCACTTTAATAAAGCCCAATTACTTTGCTTCGCTTGTATTTTTAGAGCGACTCCACCCGAAAGGCAAGGGCAAGAGCAAGAGCAAGGACAAGTCAATTACCCAAAACCGACTAAAGAGTTTTTAGTGGCCCAAAAATGGAGGCTGGCGGCTCCACCAAGCCCGTGCACTTGTGCCTACTGGCATAAGCGACGTCATCATCTGCGAGATAGTTAGTGAGCCTCACGAGAAAAGTTGGGAGGCAGAGCCCAACGAGTCTGTGTGCGTAAATCCCTAGATTTTCAACAGTCTTATAATCTGGATTGTTGGATTTTCAAAAAAAAAAAAAAAAAAAAAAAAAAAGATCATTGCGCCACTTGACACAACCTGGAGCGTCTAATTTCTAAAGAGAAAAGAAATCAACAACCTAGATTAATCTGACGATAAAAATTTCAAAAAAATAGAAAGAAAAAAAAAAGAATTTGCTTTATTCCTACAAATACCAACCATTTCTTCATTCCCCACACTACAAATCAACATTTACTTTTACTACAATTTCCTATATTTGTTTTCCACTTTTCAAATTCTTTTGATACAAAAAAAAAATGAATGACAAGGCCAATTGTTTTCTACTTTACAAAGTTCACGCTTAAACATACTTAAACAAACTTACAAAATTCAACACACTTACAAATAACAAATGGAGTGAATCTTATAAAAATTCTAATTGGATATTATTAATAGATAATGACACGTGGTTTAACGAGAGTGAATGAAAATCTCATCAAAAACCTAAGGCGATAATGACATTTGAATGATAGGGTCAACAGAGTATAAAAATAAAAATTTTATATTTGTGAGTAGTAATCATCATTGTCCTTTGTCCAATAAATAGTGTTGCACAAAAATAATTACTCTTCAGAATAAATAATAAAGATAATTCAACTGCTTCGTTCTTCCCTTCCCAAATGCGTTGATTTGCTCTTAAAGAACATGATAAGATCTAGGGTTTGATTCAGAGGTTTTTTTGTTTATTGCAAGTTGCAACTTGCAAGTTTTCAACTAATATCATTTCACATAGGCCACGTTCTTTAATTTAAAAGCATTGTTTTTGTGTCTCTTACCATGAGCCATCCTTTGTCTTTTGTGCCCTCTACAATGGCTCCATGTATTCATAAAGCAATATTATTAGTGTTTTTAAATTTGAGTACAACTGTGCTAATTATAATTAATCACATGTAAAGCACTATTATTAGTGATTTTAAATTTGAGAACAACTCACAATTGTACTAATCATAGTTTATCTCAGGGATGGCTTGGTACAATGTCAGAGAAAAAAATATTAGTAATTTTTTTAGGAGTATTTCTACTAATAAGTCAATGTACATGGTATTCATTGTTTCTAAATGATTGAGATTCTTTGGTGCAATCAAGCTGTTAAATTAAGTAATGTATATCAAACATCGATGTACTCTATAAGTGTCGAAGTTTTATAATCGATATTCAAAACAACGAAGCTTTATTAATTAAGGATGTTGTCAACAAAAATCTATTAAGGATATCCTTATTTAAGAAAAGCAAGAACTACTTCTCTAAAGTTATGGAATTGTGATCAAACCAATTTTATAACTATAACTTTAGGAATGTTATAGTAATAAAGGTGTAGTTAAAAAATATTATTTATTAACTTATTTATCTTAACAAATGTTGTAATTCGTAAACATGATTTCTTGAGCATTTTATTTCTTGTATATTTTTTTACTCATTGATAGTTATAATTATGTGAGGGTGTGTTTCCTTCTAGCAACTCCAACTCTCCCAATTTCAAGGGGGATTGGGTGATTCAATCACCAAAACCAACAAAATGAGCTCCACCCCGCCCAAACAAGTTGGACTACAATAAAAAGAAGGAGGCCCGACTGCTCACTCGAGCCAAAATTCATGACATGCGACGGGATCAGTTAAAAATCTTATTCAAAATTAAACATAAATTTATCTTTTTTTTTATTTTTTTAATGTCAATTGCCCAGGCAATTACTGTTCACTAAGGCAGTAATTGCCTTTGAGTTCTACTAGATCCATCCCAGTATCTTATTTCCCCACCCACATTATAATCTCACCCACCACAAAAAGTTAAAAACTTGAAATGTTATCTTCCGATCAATTGATCAAGATGCACACCGAGGATCGCATCTATACAATACATTTTACGCAATTCCTAGCGTCTTCTCCATCCTCCAGCATGCCACCTGCCTCGAGAACGTTGTGTTCCACTTCATATGCGCCTCTCACAATAATCGGTATATGGATTGTGGATTGTGGACATACAAGCCTTTATCCTAGTTTTCAAGGTTGTTTGCTGGTACTAACAACAAAAACAAATGGATCAAATTAAAATGGCCAAAGGTACTGGGGACTTGATTTTTTGGAGATTTAGAGAGGTGGGTTGTTCTTGAAGATGGGGAAGAATGAACCTCCCAACCTAGAGAGTATGTGACAGCCCGTCCCTAAAAATTATGGTTTTTATAATTTTAATGCGTGAAATTACGGAAATGCCCTACGGGCAAAGCATGATTTTTCGAGGACGTATGCGATTCTCGTATATTTTGTCATGTTTCTTGACATATTCGGATAGAGCTCGATCTACAGAGGCGTAGGCACAAGTGGAAGTGATTCTGGAGTTACGGTTAAAGTTTTAATGAGTTACGAACCCGAAAGTATTTGGAATGAAATACTATTTTAATTATTTTGCACTATATTTTTTATTATTACTAATTGAATTATAGGCTATTAGTGTGGGGGTGTGGCTGAAAGGAGGAAAAACAGAAAAGAAAGAAAACGGGGAAGAAGAAGAAGAAGGAACATGAGAAAAAAAAATGAGAGAGTGGCCGAATGAGGAGAAGAGAGAGGAAGGAGGAGATCCAATCAGAAACAAGAGAAAGGAGAGAAGGAAGAGAGGTGTGACCACACCGGATCCCGTCAACCCGCACACCCAGCCCGTTAGACCCGGTTGGATTCCGGTTGTTCCTAGCCAATTTTCAGGCGAATTTCACCCAAATACCACCTGTAATCACCCTAATACTCCTTCTCCTTCATCATTCATTCAAGATTGGACAAAAATTGGACCAAACTATAGCGTTTTATGGCGGGATACCCAAAAGCTTCTATGGTGGAAATCTGCCATTTTTGAATGAATTAAAGTCGATCTCCACCGCCATTAGACTTCCCTTGAGGCCTAGACAATGCCCAATCATTGGTTGGAGTGTCGGGGTCGAATTGAGGACGAATCAAGAACACCTATTTCTAGGGTTTCCGGTGTGTTCGAGGCAAATTGGAGCCTTTTCAGGCCAAATTGGACTTGGCCGCAGGTATAAAGTTTGCTCTACTCTTTGAGATCTTTAGTTCTGTAAGTTTTGAGAATTTTAGAAATAGTTAAGTTTTCCAGCGAGCTGGGGTGGTCGACTGCCGCCCGCGGCGGCTGGTGCGGCGGCGCACGGCCAGGGAGCCATGTCTGTGTTTTTATATGAATTCTGTTATTCTAATTATGATTTTGAGATATAATTGCTATGGTTTGAATATTAATATGATTGTAGTATATGTTGGATTAAATGAATATATTCGGATTTGGTTTGAACCTTGAAAACGTGAACTACAAATGGCTTGATTCCTGTTTAGAATACGTAGGCAGTCTAACGAGATGTTAGATGCAACCATATAATAATTGAGACAAGCCTTGTTGGGAAATTGGGCAATGTGAAGGAAATTGGTAAAAACGTGAGTTTTGGTTTTATGATTTGGTGATTAATTGTTTGTCATGAATCATGTGCGTTTTAACTTTATGTTTTGGTAGTTAATAGTTAGTACGCCGTAATATATATTTGGAAATACTATGAAATGGAATGGTTTTGTTTTAGATTGCATCATGGCATATTCATATGTATATTACTTGAACTTAATCATTGTGGATGCTTTGAAGTGCGGAGAGGGACGCAGGACGCACAGGTAAGTTCAGGTGAGTTTATGGTGTTAATGGAAATGGTTGAGTTATGTCACGACTATAGTTATGTTTTAGGCAATTCTGACACTGTCGTACAGGTTGATCATGAGTCGTAAATGTCATATGAGATGCAGTTAGAGCTCATAAACCTGCACCCCGGTGTTAGTGCTCTCAGTCGAAGACAGGGCCTAGCCTTCACGTGATTGTTCACATCCCGCACCACACGCTCACCTTGGATTCCAAGGTAGGTACCATCATGTCGTACATACCACATTAGGTGGTTCCGACTCGTAGGTGACTTGCGATACTTCGCATAGCCTTCATGTGATTGTAGCACTTGAGCGTATTTATTTATACCCAGCCTGTCGTACAGACCACTAGAGGTGGTTCCGACTCGTGTGCAGAGATATGTGATGAGTTATGGATTTAGTCGTACAGACCACTAGATGTGGTTCCGACTCGTGTACAAGGATATTTGATGAGCTATAGGACAGCCGTACAGGTCACGTTAAGTGACTCCAGCTGGCATACAATCATATTGATTTAACTCACCTGATTTACTTATTCTTTGCTGAGATGTTTGATAAGGCATATTGTGGTTTTGTTGAATATGGTTTTGAGATATATATATATGCATTCTATTTTTCTGGGAAGGTATACATGGTTTATGGCGATGGGTTATTACTTGAGAGGAGGAATAATGTTTTCAAAAGCTTTGTTTTCACCACTCACAAGTTATACTTTGCACTCCTTCAAGTTCTAGTAGCAAAGCTTCCGTATCGACGAGGATTTGTGGCACTTTACAGTGCAGGTGTCTTCTTGTGATGGTATAATCATTCTCTTACCTCGTTGCACTTTACTTATCCTCTGTATTGTGTGTGAATGGGTTCATGCCCATTCATCAACGCAACAGGCGCATAATCTGATCACTGAATTGATGCCTTACCGTCCCCCAGGGCCGGCGGAGCTATTTTCACATCCTCATCTGTGTCTCCGTAGGGCTTGCAAGTGATCTGGTTCGTGCTTTCTCTGGTTGATGAGTGGTCCCCTGGCCAGTAGTAGAAGGGGATCTTGCTTGGTCTTCTATCTTATCTTTTAGCCGCCGATTTCCTCAGGATGGAAACCTGCACGGGGGAATCGGACAAGGTGCCTCCCAGGCGGTTCAAATGTATTCACATTTTTCATCATCATCACATTTTTGGCTTCGTCACCTTCTAGGTGTTGGCTAGCACAGCTCAATTCGGAGTCCTAGTGGATATTTCGGGTCGGGGTGTGTCAGAGTAGGTCTTAGATGTCATTTTACAAGAGAGTAAATTAGGTATTAATTTTTTTTTATTAAAAGGTAGGTGGGGAAATAAGACAGTGGGGTGAGTTTATCACCACTCTTGCCCTTGCTCATTAGCCCGGGCAGTAATTACCTTATTGGGGTGGAGTTGATCTTAATGAGACCAAGAAAACTATAACTTATTACAAATAGAGTTTATTCCAAAACATAACTTGTCCCAACCGGAATTTGTTATAACTTAATGAGGTTATTCCATTATAGAGTATTTCTTTAGAGAGGTTTCATTGTTTTTAATCTTTACGGAGTTGTTTGGTATCTTTTCGGATTCAAAAAGCATAAAAACGCATTTTTCTTTTAAGTATATTTTCACTTACCTAAAGTCTTTAATAGTTTTTAATTAAAGTAGAAGTGTAAAAAAATATAGAAAAATATATATAAACGCTCGTAATGTCAAGCTTTATAACTTTCATGAAGAGCTTAACTTCGAATTTCGCCATTATAATCATATAAATCATAAATCAAAATTTAACCTTTTATTGTTGTTTACATTTACACTTCATTGATCTCATCAAATTTTGTTTTTTTTTTTTCTGATTTTCTTTTTTGAAAACTTGATCTATTAGAGGATGCAGGAAGATAAATGGTTTGGATCGTTGATATTCTATTCAGAGTTTTACGATTAGTGAAAATATTGATTGATGTTTATAAAGTTTCTACAAACTATATAACATCGACTCATATTTCAGTTAACCGTAAATATCGAAACATGATATCAAAGATCTGAACCGTTCATCTTCTTACATCCACCAGATGATCATGTTTTAAAAAAAAAGAAAATTTAAAAAATGAAATTCAGTAAGAAAAATAAAGCGTAAATGACAATCGATGGTTAAATATAAATTTTAGGTTTATGAATTATAGTGTTGGATTTCGAAGCTGACCCTTTCATGAAAGTTGTAAAGTTTGTCACTATGAGTGGTTGTATATTTTTTTTTTTACATTTTTTACACTTCTACAATAATTATTATTAATTTTGCCCTCAAATAAAAAACATTATTCATGAAGGTTTGGAGGATTTTAAAAATCTAAACGATAATGCAAGTGTAACTATTATCTACTCGTGGATGAATAATGATGAATCACGAGTGTTTATATATTCTTTCACATTTTTCATATGTGTATGTATGTATGTCTTCTTAGTTCTTGCCTATACAAATATTATATTAGTTTATTTTAATTTTGGACAACAACATGTTAAGTAAAATTTATCTTAGTAATGATAATAAGGAACTCTCATAATAAAAATAAATAATGACAAAAACTTTTTTTTTTAACTTATATAGAATAATAATACAAAACTATATATTTAATATAGAATATATTGTATATATTAATATGGCTATTGTATTTTATAATAAATCTTTTAGTAATTAAACTTTAAAATTATCAAAATAAATTTTTTCTTAACGGGTCGAAACGGGTTACCCACGTGTTACCCGCGTGTATACCCGTTAACGAGTCACCCGATAATGACTCGATAAGTTATCATGTTGACCCAAAACCCGTTATTTTCGTGTCGTGTCAGAAATTGCCGAGTCTACCAAAAAGACCATAAGTGTTCTCTTAAGGATTTTTCATGCAAAACATTGTTCTAAAGCAGTAATTTCTTGGCCACACATCACTTTCGTTT